GTGTGCTTTCAGTGATGCAAAGTTTGGTATGTCATGTGGGGAAATACTGGCCTTGATTCTAAGACATCTGTAATGATGGCAAGCTTTATAGGTAAAAAGTAAAAACAGAAGATAAGAACATTCTAAAGGAGACAATGGGCAAAATTTTAGAATGCTTTTTTGCTTTCAGAATTTTTGGTTTTTTGCCTTGAAAGGTCAAAAAAAGAAGGCAGCCTTTGTTAGGAGTTAGACATTCACTGTGTTTTGAAATCCCTCCAGCTATACACCATTCAGAAATTTAACATACTGAGAGCCTAGTTTAAGGTGATAAGCTTTCACTAATCTATCTTAAAATAAAATATATAATTACAAGCATACTTTCAATACTTGGATGTGAGTGCTGAAGCTCTATTTCTAGAATTGGTGGATTTTGTTCTCTATTTCCATGTATAAAAGATCTCACAGTCCTGGGAAAACACTTTTTTAAAAAATGAAATACAACAAATAAGGTATGCTGCCGAGTCCTAGGGGAGAAGTTTCCCAGAGTCTTTGAATTTCCTCCCATCCTCCTTCTTTACAAGATTTCTAAGACCAAGTCCTTTTCTGCAGTCTCTCAAACAAGGTAAAAAAGAAAAATACCCCCTAGATATATTCCTTAGATTTTCTATTATGCTTCTCAAGTTCCCAGTAGCTTCTGAAGTAAATCTAAGATGAATTCCGGAGTTATTTTTATTATGTTTTAATTTGAGTTCCTCTTTTAGGTCTAAGATGAAATAGACAATCATAACTGCTATACTTGGAGATACATTTCATGGCACAATTTGTACATGACCTGTGCAAGGTCATGTCACAGGCTGACTTGATAGTTAAGGAGTCGAATCCAGCTTTTAGTCTTGGGGGACTTCAGGGTAACCTATTTGCGCTTGTTCTATTTGGTGCAATGTGGCAAGAAAAAATCCTGTTTAAACAATACACATTAGATATATTCTGTATAGGGATCTCGCTCTGGCTTGGATAGTGTCAGTTAGGGACATATGAGGAATTACTGCTCAAATCACTCATCATTAAGGGTTATTTTTTGTCACAAAGTGAAACTCGGTGCAGATTGTGGCAAGCCTGCCTAATCATCTTCCACAAAATCCCAGGTCCTCAGCATGTGCTGTCCTCTCTGACCATCATTCTCACCCAGGCAAAAATCTTTCCTCTACCCCTCATTTAAAACGTCAACTCCCCTGGAAGTCTTTCCTTGATATCTGCACTTAGGATTAGCTATATCCTTCTCTATGTATTCACAGAACTTTGTACCTATCTCTGCCAGAGTATTTATCAGATTCTATTATAATTATTTGTATCTCCACCACTAGAATTCAAAGTCTTGTACATTTCCCTTATCTAAGACTTACTATGTGCCAGTAATTGTCCTAAGCATTTTAGATACGTCAACTCTTTAATCTGAATCACAGTCCCTTGAGGTGGATGTTAGTATTGCCTGCATCTTACAAATGAGGAACGTGAGGCACAGAGAGGTTAAGTAATTTTCTGAAGGACACATTGCTAGTAAGTGTCAGGAGTTGAACTCAGACAGTCTGACTTCAGAGGTCGAGCCTCTCCCATTACTCTTTGTGTTTGCCCAAGGGACTCAGACAGCAGGAATAACCAATCTGATTTCTCCATAGTTTCCTAAGCTTAGGTTTAGAAATGTATTTTTTGTCTTAAGTTGATTTTACCTTCACCTTTGACCATGGATTTGTCCAGAGAAAATTCAGCCCAGACTAGGGAAGAGAGAACTAGTTGGGAGGCGGAAGGCCTGGGGTGTGGCTGGCTGTGCTTCATCAAAGTCTTCAATGCTCACAACTCCTTCCGGTGGCACATCTGGAGACGCCCACAAAATGGTGCTACACTATGCCCATAGTGTGGCACAAAATGCTTTGGAATAGAAATACCATCCACTATAAAAAACACCGAGGCTGTTCTTTACAAATGATGTGACTTGATGAAGACATTTTCACTTTGGAGATGATTCAAATAGAGAGTTTTTTTCATTGTTGTTTGTTTAGAATTGAGGTACCCAAATCATTAAGAATCAGATGTAATTATTTTTCCTCCTAATGTTTAAATTCATAGCTCAAGTCCCTCCAGATCAATGTCACATATTTTACCTTCTAAATTACTTTTGAGTTCCTTCATTTTACATATATTCTTTATTTTTCTAATTAAAATAACTCTTACTCATCATAGAGATTTGGAAAATTCAAAGATATTTTAAAATATATAATTGCATACAGATCTCTTTCAATGTTTAAAAATGCTCTTCTAAAAACATTATTTTTAATGGTTATGTAACCTTTCATTAGGATAAGATGAAGCATAATTTAATTAAAAAGCACCTGTTTTAAACACTTCAGTTGCTACCAATTGTTTACTATTACAAGTAACAATAAGACAGACATTCTTTCACACTGTATGAGAATCCTGGTTCTGTGAGGATCATATAGCCCTGCAAGAAAAGGGCCTTTTTCCAGCCTAACAGGGGTTTTTCAGGAGCTTGTGGAATGTAGATTCTGCCCCTTATCCACCCGGCCCAGGAGACTCTGATCTGTTTTAGGTGAGGCCTGGGAAGGTGGTCCCCTTTTGAGAAATATTGACATTGTCTCTGCTTGTATAATACTTTCTCCTCGCTGGGTTTAGTTATCTTCTTTACTTCAGCTCAGTATCTCCCAACAAAATGACCTAGTTTTAAAGTGTCCAACTCAAATTGGCCCCAGTGAATAGAGCCACTGATTTTGAACATACGTCTTTTATTAATGTAGGTGACTGCACCAGCTCTTAAGTTCCACTGTGGGGCCTCCCCACCCTCACCCCAACCCACCCCACTCACCATCCCCATGCTCCACACCAAAGCCGACAACAGGTTTTTATGCCGCAAATCAATTATGTCATTTCCCTGCTCACTCCCCAACTCTCTCCTCCCCCGCATAGCCACTAAGCTTCCCTTGCACACTCTGCCTCCCCCAGCTGACTGGCCTGCTCACAGAATGCTGCCCTCTCAGAGAAGTGCTCCTTGATGCCCTGATCGAAATCACTTCTCTCAGCCCAACCTCGGGTTGCTCCCTTTTCTTTTCTTTCACAGTGCATCATGGTCTATAAAAGCATGGTTATTAGATTTAATCTGTCACCCTACTTTACCATCAGCTCCATGAGACAGGTACTGAGGCTAATTGTTCATTACCAAACCCCACCCTGAGCAGTGCCAGCAGGAGGCAGTGCTCTAGGCTGTGTTGAAAATGGGCTCTGGGACCAAAGGGCTCAGATTCAAATCCTAGTTCTGCTGCCTACTGCCTGTGTGATCTTAGGCAAGTTACTTAACTTCTCTGTGCCTCCATTGTCTTTATTGGAAATTATAACAGGACTGCCTTCTTCATAAGGTTTATATGGTTTGTTGTGACAATAAAATGAGGGAATACACAGAAGTGCTGTAGAATGGTGTCTGGCATGTAGAATACAGGAGAGCTTTGACAAAGTAAGCACTCAGTATACTTTTGTTAAATAAATACAACACAACGAAGTTTTTAGTTGTGTTCTTATCATCACTGCCCCCCAACCCAGCCAAAGCATTAGTTCAGTCAACTTCTCCCTGCAGCCTGCGCCCTGAAAGAGCTCCCTTCTGCCCTGAAAAGTCTGCTGAATCCACTCCCCACTCCATTTGATTAGTTCCAGCTTTGATCCTTTCATCACGTCACTTCCTAAAATATGTGCTCATGTGCCAAGTCACCTCTCTTCCTTCCTGCAAGTATTTCCTGAAATGAGACCTCCTCCACAGACCCTTCTTTAAGTGGAACTGAGCTCATCCTTCCATCCTCTGTTTCCAAAAAACAAGTTAAAGGTTGTTGTTTGAGATTCCAAAGCTATAAATTGCCTGAGCTTCTCCCTGGCTGCATGGCCTCCCCACTGCAGGGCAGGTTGGGTTTCTCCTTTGCTAGCACTTAAGAATGTGAGGCTCTGAGGGCAAAGGATTTGTATAACTGGCTTTGTCTACATTCAGCCCAATGCCAGTCCACATGGAGGCTGAATAAATGCCACTTGCTGATGATTTAATTACTTTGTCCATGCCAGGAATAGAAGCCATGAACTCTTAGATTTGTTTCCCCTATGTTATAGTACTTTCCACGCTGAGTCTATTATTAGACTGGTTTTCTGCAGTAACTTTCATAAAAGAACAAATACAAAAGAAAGGAGAGATTACATGAAAATATCAAATTAATAAATTTATCTTCCACATCATGAACCCACAGATACCTTTAAAACAGTGGCGCATTGTATTAAAAGGTGCCTCATTTAAAGTTTCACTGCATATGCTTCATGGATTATTTTGTAAATCTAAAGTGGATAACCACAACATGTCGATATTCATTTTTAAAGTACTTGTTGTATTCGGTGCATGCACCATTATGGAGAACTTACACTCAGAGCAAAAAGATTTGTAGCAAAGCATATGACCTTCTTCCCACTACAATGACCATCCCCTAATTAGGCAATGCATCTGATAGTCATTAACAGGAATGAGATAATGAATCACTTTCTCTCTTCTTTGTTAATTTGCTGTAACCAAGCGGCTAATGGATGTCAGAGCTGAGTGATTGCACTGATTATAGTGATTTATAGTTGCAACAAAACAATTTAAAACCATTCTGATTATTCATGTTAAAGATGCTTTACGTTTTGTTTACTAAATGTTTTATGGCCCCCTTTCTCCTACCCCTAAAGTACTGTCCCCCTCCTACTCTGCCACTTTTCACAAAAAGACCTCTTCCTGGAAAACTTGAAAGTTGTAGGCTTTTTTACTCTTTATTGTTTTAAGCTAAGCCACTTCATTTTGTTTATACATGCCTATATAGAGAGAGATATATAAAGTTTACCCAGTAGAAACGAAAAGCCTTAGGGGTGGAAAGAAAACTTCAGTGGTGCCTAGTTCAAAAGAAGACAGAAATAAGAGGAAATAAGGCAAACTTCAAGCCACTTACCTTGGGGCTTCCAGTCCCTTCCTCACCCTCCACAGACACATCAGTAGCCAGAATCTCGGCTTTGATGGTATCCAGGGCCCTGAGAATCCAGCTGTGTTGCCGTTTGATTTGCTTCTGCAGCTCCTTCCATTGACTTGCAATCATCCGCAGCATGTCCTTCAGTCCTTCTCCAAGAGGAGGGGAGAGCACAAGTTAGGGACCTGACTGCATTTTTTACCCACTGTTCTTTCTCATTTAGCAAATCAGATGGATCTTTCAAACAATAAACATAATTTTAAATGACCATTACCCTCTCCTGCAGCTCGGCACAGAAATTGGGGATTTTTGACTTGACAAAAGGCATAAGGACACAGAAATGGGATAACCACATAGATGCGTGTTTGGAATCGACTTAGATTTAAATATTGATTTTAAAAGTGTATATGGAACAAAAATCACGACTTGTCAAAATTATTAACCCTACAGCTTCACATTTCAGATAAAAGGCCTTGTGTGTATGTGGATGGGGACTTTGTCATGATCAGAAAATGTATGGAAATAGGTGAAGTTAATTCGACCAGAAATACAGTAAATGGGCCAGATTTAAGAAGCAGTCTCTAGCATTAGCATATCCAATTAATGTTGCTGTTTTCTTATTTAGCTGTGCTAAGCTCAAAACAAGTGCCAAACTATAATTCATCCCCTCTTATGGTCTTTTACTACCAGGATAAGTATAACCAAATGACAAAACTATTTTTTATTTATAATCTGTTCTTCATAAATACATTAATACCGGGGTCAGAACTGGTTTAAGTCCAAAATCTGCTAATGCAATGACCAGCAAAGAATATGCACAATGTTCATGTGTGTGAACTGGCAGGGCCATAATCAGATATCTCTAGACTGCCTGCCTTATATCTGTAATGATATCTATAAGTACCCTGATGCATATGCACTGTAACTATATGCACAATTCTCATTCATTATCTTAATGTTATTTCCAGAGCACCTACATCAAAAAGCATGTCAATGTGAAGTTTTCAGGAATGTGATTTCAATTGAAACTCAGGCGAACAGCAAGCCCAAAATAAAATGAACAGACCATTTGGAGGCAGTATTTCATTTTATAAGTATCACAGCATTGTATGCGGTATATGAAACATTTATAAATCTTGAAGGTCAATCTGATAATGTAAATATTAATAATACATAAGGAAGTGAATATATGCAGTAATTTACAGCAATGCTTCTTCATTCTTAATAGTCTGGAGACATAAAGACTTGCAATATTTCAGGAGGATTTACCTGCTTTGTGAGATGCAATAAGCTCGAGAAGTTGGTGTCCTTCCTCCTCTACAGCTTCCTTGAGAGCACAATGACTGTCGACATTCAACTTAAAACTCTGCAAGGAAAAATATGAGCATCAAACGCTGGCAAGGCAGTTAAACATAAAACATCCACACAAAATTACTTGCTACTTTTTTTATCAAGAGCCACACAGTCCAATTTACCCAATAGACAAACTAATTTGCAATACTAAAAGCTATTGATATTTGGGATCTGGGCTCAAAACGTTTCCATTAGATTAGCAGAGTGCATCTGTTTGGAAACAGCTGACAAATCTAGAAATTCATTAGGTTTTTATGAAAAGTCACATCCTGAAGGCTCTATCAGGAGTAGCAGTGTTCTATAAAATACACTGAATTTCTACCAGCACATGTGTGCTCTTTTCTTCATTTTTTAGAAATGTCAGTGTTTGTACTATTTATGAAACCATAAAAAAATTGGCAACATAAATTATATTAGCCTTATGTGCATACAGAAATCCATTAATATAGAGGGGGTCTGATTCAGCTGTTTCTCAGCTATCACACAAACCACAGAGTATTGAGGTGGATTCAAGTGCTGTACTGAGGAGTCAAATACTTCTCAAATGTTTGATTTTTAAAAGTTTACTCCTTACAATGCAACACTGCTTTAGAAATGAATACATCGAGTACATCAGGGGCATTTTTCACTCATGATAGTCATTCAAAAGACAAAAACTGCTGCTATGGCTTTATGGCTGAATGCCAACTCAGAGCCATGTCTTTCAGGGAGCCTTCCCTGATGCCTTACATATGCTGAATTACTCCCTTCTCTTTGCTAGCGCTGCTCCTTATACCTGTTCCTATTGTAGAATTTATCATACATATAAATTTATCATACATATACTCTGCTTTATGCCTATACTTGGCTACCAAATTATAAGCAATTTGAAAGAAATGCCAGCTTCACATTTATTTCCAACTCCTGTCACATACAAGGTGTTCAATAAATGTTTGCAGGAATAGTAGATATCTGTTGATTGGATCAATAGTGCTCTCTGAATGGAAGGTTTCCACTTAAATATTTCAAGAAACACGGATGGTTTTCCAAAGATTTTTCCATCTCTGGAATGTTATAAGGTGCTCCAATCACAGGAAGTTCAATGTAGAGTAATCATAGTAACCAATCTGTTGAATCAATGGTTAGTCTTCAGAGTGAAAAGCCATTCCTTGACTAATTTGAAAAAGCATGGTTTTTGAAAGACTATGTGCCACATTTCAGCTTCTCTTTAATAGGGCTCCAAAATATACAATATACTCATTGAGTAATAGCTGTATGCAGCACACTGAGCCTAGTATTAAGAATATTTGATAGAAGTTTGAGATGATACAATCCCAGTTGGAATGTAATTTGGATGAAAGAGGTTAAACAACCATAAATTGTGAAACCAAGTGTTCATTATTCCATTCTTTCATTCTTTCCTTCTTTTCTTCATTCATTCAGAAACCATGTATTGTGCCTGCTCTGTACACTGAACCAGGTAATAGCAAATTAATGGGTATAAAGCATGGCACCTGGCATCAAAGGGCACCTGCACATGTTACAGAGAGAAGGAATTGCAGCCTGACTCATCTTGGATGTTCAGTGGTCTTTTTCTTACTGAAGAAAGGGAGTCTTTTTAAAGTTCAGAATTAAAAAACAGAACAGTCAAAATAAGCTGAAAATGAAGGAGATAGAGACAGACAGATCAGATCTGGAAGTAGAAAGATAAGAACTTTGACTAAAAGAATTGACTCCAGGAAGCAAGAATATACAATGGAATAAAGACAGTCTCTTAAGCAAATGGTGTTGGGAAAACTGGACAGCAGCATGCAAATCAATGAAGCTAGAACACTCCTTTACACCATACACAAAAATAAACTCAAAATGGATCAAAGACTTAAACATAACACAAGATAAACCTCCTAGAAGAAAATATAGGCAAAACATTATCTGACATACATCTCAAAAAATGTTCTCCTACGGCAGTCTACTCAAGCAATAGAAATAAAAGCAAGAATAAACAAATGGGACCTAATTAAACTTACAAGCTTCTGCACAGCAAAGGAAACCAGAAGTAAAACAAAACGACAACCTACGGAATGGGAGAAAAGTTTTGCAAACGATGAAACTGACAAAGGTTTGATCTCCAGAATATATAAGCAGCTCATACGACTTAATAAGAAAAAAACAAAAAACCCAATCCAAAAATGGGCAGAAGACCTAAACAAGCAATTCTTCAAGGAAGGCATACAAATGATCCATAGGCACATTAAAAATTCTCAATATCACTAATTATCAGAGAAATGCAAATCAAAACTACAATGAGGTATCACCTCACACCAGTCAGAATGGCCATCATTCAAAACTCCACAAATGACAAGTGCTGGAGAGGCTGTGGAGAAAAGGGAACCCTCCTACACTGCTGGTGGGAATGCAGTTTGGTGCAGCCACTGTGGAAAACAGTATGGAGATTCCTCAAAAGACTAAGAATAGACTTACCATATGACCCAGGAATCCCACTCCTGGGCATATATCCAGAAGGAATCCTACTTCAGGATGACACCTGCACCCCAATGTTCACAGCAGCACTATTTACAATAGACAAGATATGGAGACAGCCTAAATGTCCATTAACAGATGACTGGATAAAGAAGATGTGGTATATTTATACAGTGGAATACTACTCAGTCATAAAAATGACAACATTACGCCATTTGCAGCAACATGGATGTCCCTGGAGAATGTCATTCTAAGTGAAGTAAGCCAGAAAGAGAAAGAAAACTACCATGAGATTGCTCATATGTGGAATCTTAAAAAAAAAAAGAACATAAATACAAAACAGAAACAGACTCATAGACATAGAATACAAACTTGTGGTTGCCAAGGGGGCAGGGGGTGGGAAGGGACAGACTGGGATTTTCAAATTTTATAGATACTGACAGGCATATGCAGAATAGATAAACAGGATTATACTGTATAGCACAGGGAAATACATACAAGATCTTGTGGTAGCTCACAGCAAAAAAAAAATGTGACGATGAATATATATAAGTTCATGTATAACCAAAAAATTGTGCTCTACACTGGAATTTGACACAACATTGTAAAATGACTATAATGCAATAAAAAACGTTAAAAAAAATTGACTCCAAAATGATGAAACATTTCATCTGACCAGAGACTTAAGAAACAGTAAAGTTGCAGCAAAAGATGCCAGCAAGAGACTCATTAGGTTTACCCAAAGGTTGTTCACTATTTCTTGCACTGGCCTCTTTCAGCTACAGGTATTTGGTTGAATAAAATAAAGTATAACAATGTTTCGGAAGCCTGATGCCTTTGATCAATTCAAATGATACATCTATGAAAAATTAAGTAATTATTACTTTACAGCCAAAACATGGCTGTGTTTACTTTTTGCCACTGTAGTGGAAGTCCTCAACTCTGAAGCAATACCATGCAGACTGAGGTACGTGTGTGTGTTTCAGGGAGAAGGGACACACAAAAAAGCACCCAAGAGGGCCACTATTTAGGAAGAAATTTATGCTAGAGATTTCCTCATAACTGTAAATTTAGTCTAGAGCTCTCTTTGCTTCTCTGTTTACTGACAACGGACTTGTGCTGAGTGGTTGGCAATCATGAGTTTCCAAAGAGATGTATCAGACTTATGTCTCAGAGCAAAAGAGAACCTAAGGACCTGTGAGTAGGTTGGAAATTTGGCATACTTGAAGCCAATAGTATAGAATAGATGCAGCTGGATCTGGTTCTGCCTGAACATGATGTGGAAGCACTTGGTTAGGACACCGGAAAAGATGAGGCCTTCATTATTATGAAAAAGATAAGCTGATATGCTTGGTGCTACAGAAAAGAACCATTTAATGTTAACTATTACCCAAATGGCACAATATTTTTGATTTTCAGGTGTATCCATTAACCATTAATAATATCAAGTAAGGAGTTCACAAAAGGCCTCTGAGAAAGTAGGCAAGCAGGCACATTAACAAAATAATCAATGAAATTTCTGGCCACTGAAGGATTCTGTAATAAGCTCTCCCCATTCTGTCTCCACCTCTTCTCTGGGGAAGAACGTTTAGGAAAAGGGTTTTCTTTCCTTTCTTCTTTCTTTCTTTTTTTTTTTTTTGGTTTAACTTGATACTTGGTCACACTTCCATTCTTGTGCTACTAAACATGTTTCCTCAGCAATGCGTTGTGGTATATAGTTCCTTTGTGACATCCATAGTGCACCCTGAAAATGCAGAGCATTCTCTGGAGATTTAATTTATGGGAACAATATTGCCATAGGCAGGTACCACAGTCCTACATCACTGATGGTTATGTGAAATTCCATAAATATGAGTAATCTGGGACCTGTGAAACACTACATCTCTTTTAGTGTCTTTAAAGCAGCATGTAACTGAACATCTAGAAGAGAAGAATTACAGCAACAAAAAATACACTGACTGAGACAAAGGGCTAGATTATCAAAAAGATGATACATCAGATGTTGACCAATGGGTATTCCCATTGCTACAAATTCTCATCTTACTGGCAGGTACAGGTATGGGTGCATTGCTTCTTAGCAGGATACAAATTCATGTAAGCATGCTGATTATACACTGATCATAATCAGACCTTACAAAGCAGATAAAATACTACATCTAATCCTATTCCATTCAAATTTCTGGAGATCCCAGTTTGATGGGAGTATGAAGGTCATGTGGACATGAAACGAAACCAAGGTAATGTAGGCCTTGATGGACAAAACTGTGACAAATGTGAAGAATAATTACTCATGAAGGATCATAAGAATAGATATGGATTCCCTGGTACAGGAAATAATGGGAAAGACCATAATCACCTTCAAAGACTTAAGGATCCAAAAGGTTTCAGTTTTAGCAGAATCATATCATGAACACAGACTTTCAGTCACACCCATGGAATATTGTTAGTGTGGGCCAGGTCCATTGAGGTCCACGAATTTTATGATGTTTGTGAACAGAGAGGCCAAAAGGAGTTACTGCATCTTCCCTGACATAATTTTAGTTTTTTTAAAGC